GGAAAATTAATTTGAAGCTGTGTTTTTTTAATTTTTTTATAAAAATCGTTAGATTACTCTAAAGCAAAATGAGGGAAAATCTGTGTCAATTACAGTCATTCTGTTCACGTGAGCAGCTGTCAGTCAGCACCTGTCATCCTCCAGACGCACGAAGGAGCGTGTCTGAACCAATCACTTTTGTTGGCATTGATCAGCTGACTGATTTAAATACATCTTAACATTCATGAGGTACTTTACATTGACTGTTTATGGTTGAGTGTGGGCGTGTAGAGGGTAGAACCTGAGGAGGACCTCGTGCGAAAACTCTGACGTGCGGCTGTGATTTATTTGCGCAGAAACATGCATACGCACTGTTTTATAAATCTGAAATTATTTTTGGCGTATGCCATTTTCACCTTTTGGCCGTACGTTCACTTTTAGTATGGTTTCCACACAATCCTTTATAAATGAGACCCCAGATGAGAAAATAGCTTTAAAATATTCTAAAAGTTGGGTTTGGCGGAGAGAAAACAAATAATGGATCTCTGCTGCACTTTACTTTTTTTATTCTATAAACTGAAAGTTTACAAAACAGGTACCAAAAACACTGCACTTGGCGTGCTAACTGGAACTTTTTGTTACTTCTTACTTAAAAAATCTGAAACATTTTACTGGCACCATATAGAGACATTTTCTGCTCTCACTGCATAAACTGCAGCAGGGATTGTGCAATCCAAGTGGAGACAGAGGGTAGTTGAAAGGATTGCGTAATCTGGAGGCGGAGCTTGATTTGCCTCCTAGTCCCTCTCATCCTGTATTTGAACAGGAAATGAGAAAATTCAGTGATTTTGAATAAGAAAAATATTTTTAAAAAGTTTAAGTCAAAGAGAAGATGCATTTATAGAATAAAGCACTGTATACAGTATATGTGACATTTTATTGTGTTTAATATTGTTTTTCTTTTAACTTTCCATGGCAGGTGAACCAGTGGCCAAGCATCACTGCATTACACCAATATTTATAAAGAATTACTTCTGTAAGGTTTTCAAGAAGCACCTGCAGCCAGATGTAACATGACAGTCTGTGAAACAGCACTGATTATGGAAATGTTTATAAGGTATAAGATCACACTTCTCACATCCTCAGGAGACTTTACTCCAGGGTGTCAGAAGGGAGGCTCCAATCGATCATTGAACCTCAGATTCAAGGGGAGCAGTGTGACTTTTGTTCTGGTCATGGAACAGTGGACCAGATCTTTACTCTTGCTGAGTTGCTAAAAGGGTCATAAGAGTTTGCATCTCCAGTCTGCATGTGGACCTGGAGGCATTCTGTAAGGGGCGCTGCAGGAGTATGGGTATTCAGGGCTATACAGTCTGTATAATCAAATGTGTTTATGGACATCATCTCAATGTGCAGTTAGGTGGAGGACAGGGTGTGGTTTAGGAACCACAGGGTCACAGCTATTCTTTATGGAGAGGATGTGGTTCTATTGGTGTTTACAGGCCAAGACATTGTTTCTGAGTGATGGCAGGATGGAGTGGGAGCTGGATCGACAGATTGGGGCCTCATCCTCAGTAATGAGGGCGTTGCTTTGATCAGTCATGGTGAAGAAAGAGCTGAGTCGAAAGGCAAAGCTCTGGATTTACTGGTCTGTCTAAGCTCCAACCCTCACCTAAAGACATGAAGTGTGGATCATAATTGAAAGAACAAGATCCTGGATACAAGAAGCTGAAATGAGCCTTCTTTGTAGCTCAGCCTTAGAGATAGGGTGAGGGGCTCCATCATCCGGGGGGTGCTCTGTGTAGAGCCGCTGCTCTTCCACACCGAAAAGAGTCAGTTGAGGTAGTTCGGGCATCTGATTCAGATGCCTCCTGGACGCTTATCTTCCCTTTAGAGGTTTTCCAGACATGTCCCACTGGTAGGAGGCACTGGAGAAGACCCAGGGCTCGCTGGAGGGATAATGTATCCTCTCTGGCATGGAAACATCTTAGGGTCTCCCAAGTTGAGCTGAAAAGTGCCCTTGGGGGGAGATGTTTGAGTTTCTCTCTAGATCTGTTGCCTCTGCGACCCGACTACAGATAATTGGCAGAAAATGGAGATTGCATAAATAAACCAAAAATCTTTGAGATTATAATTAATGTAAGACAGCAGAAAGACTGCCTCAGCTGGATCGAGGAGATAACAGCTAGTCTGAGCGGGGCCAAGTCCAAAGTGAATTTCACTTTGGATTCCACAATAATCCAGCAAGTGAAGGAAGCAAAGCAGCAAAACTGTATGTATTGCCACAAAAAATATTTAGAAAGTTAAAAACTTTACAAAGGATATTTGCTTTTTCTGTGAAATTGCAGAGGTTTCAACTATTTATTTATTATTTAGGATCTAAGAAAAAAAATCTGCAAATAAACAAGTCCGCTAACTAATTAATAAACCTACTGAATTCGTGTCATGTTCACATTAGTTTAGTTAAGTTCAGAACAAAGTCAAAGCAGAGTCTACAGAAACCACTGAACTGTTTTAACCAGCGTGAGTGAACAAGTTACTCTAAATTAGTCCGATTTATGTTTTAACTGATGATTTATCAACTTTTTCAAGATGTTCAATTGTCTTTACAGTTTTTTTCTTTAAATTTTACCCTAAATCAGGTTGTTAAACTCAGTCACTCAGAGGTTAAATTTGAAACAGTTCAAGCTGAGTTTCAAACTTGATCAATATTTATTGAAAAAGATGATACAAACTAACTTTTTCAGATTTATGTTAAATTAATTAGACAGATATATGATATTCTCCCTACACTTTTATACATAATTCAAAACAAACACGGCTTATTGATTAAACTTTAAAAAATGAGCCATAAATCCATTTTCTGAAGGCTCCCTTGGTTTCTCCAGTTTTTCACTCATTTCTAATGAAATCATTTTATCATGAATCCTGAAAACAACAACAAAACATCCTGAAGAAAAGGTTCTCTGATAATAAGAAAAGTAACAAGAAACCAGACTTGGTTGTGTTTCGATGCACATAAACCAGGACAGGAAACTCCATCTGTTCTTGGTTCCAGTCAGCTTATAGGTGTTGTTTCTGCATCTGATGTGTTACTGACCAACTCTAATTTCACTTGGTGTCAAATATGCTCCTTGTTTTTAGCAAAATCTGTTGAAAACCACTTGGCTGCATCTCTGACATGATGATCAGACAGTTCCTTCTGTAAAAACTAAAGGTTCAGCACATCAGGATGGTTCATTCATCCAGAATTCCTGATTTAAACAGAAACTTTTCAGCTCAGAACTCTGTGATTTATCAGTCTGCTTTCCATAAACTCATAAACTTCTTCACACAACTCAGAGCATTAGTTCGGTCTTTTTCTTTGACTTACTTATTGCACTTCTGTTACTAATTTATCACAAAATATTTGGTTATTTGAATTGAGCGTGTTTGAGTAAACTACCTGAGCCTTGCTATAAACTAATGACGGGGCTGAAATGTATCTTCTGTCTAACAAAATACAACCTGTGGTTTGTTATATAACTGAGGTATCAGGCTCTAGGTTCCCCTGTGTTTTCTGTAGTATGTGTTGTAAAGGGTGCATGTACTGTTTACACATCAGCCAGTTTCAACACATATTTGTTGTGTCACAGGTCAGATAAAACATTATGGGACATATCTAGACACAGTTTGAGTTTTCAGTCTTGCTGCTGGTCAGGCTTGGTCACCTCTTTCTGTACTGAACTTACAATATGAGTAAAGTGCTTCGTCTCATTAACAAACTGTACCTAATAAGCACAGATCTTATGAGCTCATGAAATAAGTCTTATTTTAGCCTCTTCACACTTCCACTGTTCCACTGACAGCTGGAGGTTTGGAGACGCCAACTCAACCATATCATCTGCAAAAAGGTAAAGAAGAGACTTTGAGGTTCTTCGACTGCATTCTCCTCACCACACCTTTATCCCAAGCCACGACGAGAGGCTCTGGCAAAGCAGACACAACCAGATCCACAAGCGCTCCTGGCAGAAAATGCTCTGGCAGCAAAACATTCTTACCTTTGCAATAAAAGAGGATATATATGTACACACACACACACACACACACACACACACACACACACACACACACACACACACACACACAC